GAAGAAGGAGAATTTAAAGATAAAGTGCAAGCTTCTTGTATTTCTGAGAAATTGTATGTTCTCAGGTTAAGTTCGACAACTATAATGACTGATTATGTTTTCCAGTTTCTATTGATCGCCTTTTGGAGTTAGAGGATTTTGGGTGGATCACACAGTTCCAAGGGGGATGGAAGAAGGATCTTTCGTCTCTAACAGAGTTTTAGAAGGTGGGGTGGGGGGAGGAGGAGGCTATAAAAGGATAAAATCTTATGGAATTTCACATGATTCCACTCAATATGACCTAGTTATAACCAGCCTCATGGCTAGGAATTTAGGTAGATTGCTTTCATCAAATGTAATTTATGCACAGTCCGAAGTAAGTAATCGTGATACATTTTTAATTCGGTACTCTCGCAGTCCGGTTTAGTAAGTTTAGGATCGCCGGAAATAATTAACACTTTTCCATCTCGAGATTTCTAAGAGAGAGCATTCTAAAATTATTCTTTCTGTGAAAATGATGGATCATCAGATCTTAGCGAGAGGATCTAAAGTCGCTTGGCTGGTTGGGTGGGAGTTTCTGAAAGACTGGATTTAATGGAAATAATTAAAATTCCTTTTGGTGATCATTGTATCGTGCTCCGCAGGCGTTATCTGGTCTCTCCCCGAGGGACCTCAGGCCCAGTTATTTTAGGCCTCGGTAGTTACCGGTCCCCGAGAGTTGTATTTTGTGTTCCGTGTCTGTAATAGTTACAGAAATATTTATAGTTTTGAAATCAGACTGTAAAATATCAAAAAGATGAACTGATTCTTGCGCTAAGACCCTCACTCATATCCAGCCAATTATGTCCAGAAATGCACGCAGTAACATAAATGGCAGATTTGACGAAATTTCGTCAAACCAAGTAAATGTTCATGGATTTGACGGTTTTGGAACGTTATAGTCAAATTCGTAAAAGCGCAATCAGCTCGGCGGAATTGACGAGTTTGGCGAGTTTTAGTCAAATTCGTCGAAGCGAAATCAGCTTGACGATTTTTTACCGAATTTTCGCCATTTTCGTTACTGCATGCATTTCTGGACATATATCAAGACCCTCACCGCTTCTCTCTAGATTTATATATTTTAAGATAGGTCGCCAAATGCAAATCCGAATTGTTTCGGAACTCTAACAAGCCGATACATTTACTTCAGCCCTTTTGAGTTCTGTCTAAGTTATCAGATGCCAGCATTTCGAAGTGATCTTGAGTCTGTTACTTAACATAAACGTCAACAACCGCCACATGGAATTTTATGATGTCGTAATATGCAGCAAGGCCAGAACTGCAAGGAAGTAATTTTTAAAGTGTATTTGCCAAGAAAACGATAGGTTATGATGAGGCTTCTATATAAATTATTCCAATCATCAGCGATATGGTCTCTTTTCCTTAACCACCTCTTGAAGTGAACGTAATGAAAATGAACAAGCTAAAAAGATACAAGACCACGTTTCACGGACTTTTTTTACTTTACCATGGCCCGATTTCCATCGTTCTTTCAAGCCCGGTCATTATGGATCCTCCCAAGAAGAAATCCTTTAGGGAAGAAGCTTCGGTTTTTATTTCCCGAACTGTGACTATTATAACATAGTTACATTCTAACACGCGCTCTGATTGGCTATCCCGAATTGGATGGACGCACGTTACACATTGTCCACTCCTTGAATTATGCGCGCATGATTGATAATAAAACAGTGGCGTCAGTTTTAGGGGGGAATTCAGTGACTCTTGAGACTTCTTAGATTTGTATCCCAAATTGGTATTCTATTGAGGGCTCCTGTAGCAAAAGCCTTACAGCCATATTTTTAACAGATGTGTATGGACAACATTTGAGCTTGACATTTAGCTTTTCGCAATGTTTTACGTGCTTTGTCCCTCCCGGACTTAGCCTCACCACTTTCGCATTCAGTGAGTGGCTTAAGGCAATAAGAGATTTTGATTGAGGAGTATTTCTACCAAATGAGTTTAAAATTCCCGGACTTTGTATCATTCCAATTTTTAGGGAGCCATAGGTCGAAAAGGTATTCTGAGGTACTTTAAAGCGAAGCGGGCCAGGGAAGCGTAAGCTACAAAACCAGTGTCATGCATAAGGTGCTCATAATATTTTGGAGGAGAAATTGAAATGTGAACCTCATCTTTTCTTTTTTTCTTTTTTTCTGCTGATCACTTGACCAGCACAAGTCCTAGGAAACTTTTTTGCCGTTTCAATCTATCCTTCAAGGAAGGTGGGATACGGCTGTTTACCCACGGAAAAAGGAGACGGGAGAGGGCGGGAAGCGGGGAAGGATTGTAGAGAAAAGGGATCAATGGAAGGAGGAAAATTCCTCTGTGGTCATGGGCAGTGAAGGCCGGATACGGAAGTCACCGGTGCGGGAGGTGGGAGAGCTGAGTTCGGACTGAGTGGGGGACTCTTTACCCCTGCCCCCCCCCCTCCACAAACCCCTCACTTTACTCCTGCATTCTCCCCCTCCACAAACCCCTCACCTATAGTTGAGACCCGGGATATCTCAAAGAGTTTTTTCATCTCGAACTTGAATACGTGTTTTCGAGTTTAGACCTGTGACAAAGTGTATCTGTTAATTTAGCCTGTAAACCTTTAAAACTGTATGATTCTAACAATTGTAGCTTTTATCTTGGAACCTTAGGATAACAGGATTCTAAGCCAGCTGCATATCGTCTGCAGAAATCTAAATGCAAGTAGTTATGAAATAAAGATTAAGTGTTTCCGATGAGAGCGAATCATCATTCCACCTTTATCTCAAAATTTAGATCCGATTTCAGCCCTGAGCAATAACATTTTATAGACCGAATATCATTTCCAAAAACATTTTCTTTTAAAGTGAATCGAAATTACCGTACTGATCTGTAGGGAGACAGTGTTCCCCTTAAAACAGCTAAAAGTGTTTTAGTCAGCTTATATTGAATAAAATCAGCTTTCAGGGTACATTTTTCCTGGAGAGAACGTTTGGGGTAGCAGTAATTAATGGCAAGCAAATCACGAAAGCTGTCCCGTTAAGTTTGTAAAAACCTTTATTAAGGCTTTGTTTAGCTTCGTGTTTCAATTTTATTTTTACCTAAATTTAATAAAGTTAAAGGCTTCAACTTAAGCTGAAAGAGACTCGCTTTGTTCAAGAATTCGACTTTTCTCGCGGGCGAAGATATCTTCGTGCCGCAGCGTAAAAGATAAATTTTTCCATGGTAAATGTCAATCAACACACGGATAATACCATAGAAAGTGGAAAAAATTTCAGAAATTCAAGTACTAAAGCAATTCATACGAGGAAAAAAATGTGCGACTTACATAAGGTTCCCAATGGACCATTTTTACAAGCGCGTTCAATTGAGGACGTAATTGCTTGTAACTGCAGTAGGAGTTAGTTGTTTCCACCTGAAAACGTGAAAATCCACTTTTTCTTCCCTAGATTGTCGAGAGGTTTGACGAATTTTGCGCAGTTGCGAATTCCTTCTCCAGAGTTTTGAAAATCGAGTGCAGCTTTCTCTTTTCTGATGAAACCATTATCCTTAGGAGCTTGCACGAACACGCGAGCGAAGACCACGCGTAAGAAGTTGACATTTGCTTTCATGCAGCGCGAGTTCGCTTCTTATTTGAGCAACGAAAAGAACTTTGATGCTTCTTACATCATCTTCTCGCGCTTTGTGTAAGTTTTAACTAACTCGAAGTGAGCTAAACAACCTTTTTCTTACACAAACCGTTTCTTGACTCATACGTCAACGGATGAGAGTGTAACGTCATCCACGTAAGTGCGCGTAAAACACGAATTGATTCAGTGTTCTAATTTAATTCGACTTTTTGTTCTTTCTTTCCCCGCATTGAGTTCAAAATAATTTTATTTGTCATCCAAATTGATCTCTTTTTGCGGTTATCGAAAATAGAAGTAGTTCAGTCCAAAATGACGTAAATTTTTGTACGTGTGATACGACATATGGATGAGTGGGAGTCAAAAAGAAAGGCTTCGAGAATACCCTCCTCCCGCCAAGGGAGACCGGGGGTGTCAGTTTTAATAAACACACTCTACCAACCGTATCACATCCGTTCATCTCTACTTTCGAAATTTTAAAATTTCTTTCTTACCTACACTCAAGATTAATGATTTAAAACCCAAGGAATGACAGAAATAGGCCTTTTTGAGCGTTGTTCGACAAATGCTCCCCCGAATTTTAAATCACAGATGGTAGAACAACGTTCTTATGTTATTTGTTCCTTTATCCCTATTCAAATCACAAAAAATCCATTGGATATCAGACTGATCTATTTTGGTCCAAGTATGAAAGGAATGTAGTTTAAAATGACGTTGTTCCAGTTCTAAGTTTGTAACAACCGCATTTGTGTGGGAGTTGGTAAGTTAAAAAGATTGCTTCTAGAATAGCATTGTTGACAAGTAAAGTACTTAGACCGTGTCAAATCAGTTTGTAATTACCAGTTTTTCTAAACCAAAACAATGACAAGAGTAAGCAGTTTAACGCGTTTAAAACTGCTCATTGCTAAAAATCCTCCACATATGCCTATATTATGGAATAAGGTTCGGTTTTTACTGTCCATTTTTTCGTTTTAAGGCAGAAGCGCCTTCATTAATTATTCAAATCGGTCTGTTGATCTAAACACAAATTAATTCAATTGACGATAACACAATACTTTTGTTATGAATCGGAACAATAGGATTACCATAACTTGAGAACTTAAATGTTTCTGGTTATGGCAGTTAGACGCTGTTAGTAAACATCGATAAACTAACCCATCTCTTTTAATGATATAAACAATCCTTTCTACGTGATCTACTACAAAATATCGTGATACTGATTTTTCAAGTTCCACAGACAGCTGATTGAATATATTAATTTGACCCCTCGCTAGGCCGTGGAATGCGTCACTCGGACTGTAAGAAGTCTAAGCAGCCCACTTAGTCACGTGATCAGAAAAGGGGTTTTCTGGGCGTAGGTTTATTGGTGAAGCTCACTTCTACCTTGCGCTGATCTCGAAAGGTTCACAGCTTTAGTTTGATCGTCGGATCAAGGGAATTTCAGGGTACGTACATACTGCACGACCTATGCGATACGTTTTTTCATTTCTCTCTCCTAAACTTCAGCCTTAAAGGTTAGTACTAGTTTAGTTTGGGTGAGCTGAACCTCCAGGAGAGGAAGTGAATTTTGGAATTGGAGGAAAAACCTGAACATCCCCATGAATGACACGTATTAAGTTTTACTCAGGTATTGTAACACCATCTGTTTGTTAATCTTGGGTGTTTAAATGACTTATGTCGGTTTTCTTTTTATCAAAAGGGAAATAAAAGCTGAAGAAAAAACCCACTGTGGAGTGAGCTACGATTTTCCTTCGTTTTTTGAGATTTTCGCCGCCGTGAAAGAGGTACGTAAGAAGTTCATCTTTGACTGTCGTCATTCCTCTTGTTATGCAACCTGTTTGAAGTTTTCCTCATTCGGTTTCAAAGCAGTGCGCTAGTGTTAGGCATCCAACAAACACTCTGGACAATCTCTCGTTTTAAAAAAATTCTGCTAAATTTTTCCATAGAGAGACGAGAGGAAAGTATGGTTAAACAGACAGTGGCTAGATCATTGATCGTTTGGGCGTTGTTGCAGTTATTGCATAACGCCACCTCGATCCAAGAAGGTAGGCTTCTTTCCACAGTTTAGAGCAAGTTTAAAGTAATTCTAGATGACATTGGTTTTGCTTCTTTTGCTGTGTGATGTGTCAAGATTTATTTCATATTTAAAACAGTCGCCAGTTGGTCACTCTCGTTTTCCTGCTTCTGTCAGTTTGCATATCTTCTCTTTGAGTTCTCACTTGACCCCCTGAGGTAATTTCCTCTCTTGTGATTCGTCGCTGCAACTTTTTGAGTTTGGAGTTACGACATTCGATCAAAATGCGCCCTATTTACAGTATTTTGAAAATATAAATGTAATATTTGAATGTTCTTTCGGCCTTAAATACTTTTAAATCTCAGCTCGTAACCGATATTGCTCTTATTTTCAGGTGGGGCACAGGATATCAACCATCAACTCACCCGCCCTGAACGTGTAGACGGTAGACGAGAGAAACAAGACCTCTCAACTTCGGAAAAGGTTTTTTTTTCGTTCAATTTCATGTTATTTTTTTGGTTCTTTACTCGTGCACTGGATGCACTTTTAACTGTGATCCAAGTGATCCATTCAGCGCACTATTTTAATAAACAACTTTTCGTATTAACATAACAATAACATTGGACAAGTGATCTTTATAGAGACATTTTGATGAATAATTATTTTGTATCACGTTGTTCTAGGGAGGTCACGTGGATGATGCCTCTTATCGATTGACTGCTTTTGACAAGGACTGGACCCTAGATGTTAAACGAAACAAGTATGTTTGTTGGCAAACATTTCTTTTTACTGAATCAGACTCTTGAAGTAATTGATTTGGTTATACTATTTTTATGCTACCAACAAGACCTATGGTTACAAGATCGTTGAAATTTACTTGTTTATTCATGTATTTGTTCGCTAGTTATTATTTCTTTTGTCCTTCACTTCATTCCTTATGTCGTTGTTTGGCTCGCTTATTTTATCATTTTACATTATATTATATCTATTTATTTCTTTGTTTTCTCTTTTCATTCACGAACTGTCCCATTATGTTCTTATGTGTGGATATGAGTCATGCATATCAATATGTCAATATATCACGTTATTTTGCTTCTCCTTTAGAGAGCTGATTCCTTCATCATTCGCTGTTCGCACGTTCGAAAATGATGGATCAGAGGTCATACAAGAGGTAGGTATAAGTTATAGAACATATTAGAAAGCACAAGGTTGATCATGCAGTCGTAAACGTTTGGTTTCCATATGCGAATCCTGTCAGAGGCTTTTTATGGACGAAAGCTTTTTCTGCAAATTTAAAAACAAACTAATTTTCTCGTAATGACACCAAGTAATTGGTTCTGCATCTATGTCATCTTTGCTGGCTGAACATCTGAAAATATCGATTTTTTTTAGCTCTAATTTAAGGTGGCTAACAGCAATTTATAGATAAATGCGAATGCAATCTCTCTCTCTACCAGTCACTTAAATATCGATAACATCGAACTCTATCCACATTTGCAAATGTGTTAAACTTATGATAGTGATCCGTCAATTTAAAGATGAGTATTTAGTTTTATATAAAAGATATTACCATGCTTGAGAAGATACGAATTTCTGGAAACTTTAAAAGATAAGGGGGTGGGGTGGGTGAGGGGCCAGGGCCATCTAACGTTATGTTCATTGTATGCACTTCTCTCTCAGGGTAATTACGATCATTGTCACTATCAAGGTACCATACGAGGCCTGAATGATTCTCGCGTTGTCCTGAATACCTGTTCGGGGTTGAGGTAAGGTTTTATTGCTGTAGTATGACTGTATAATGCATTTCAAACATGACATCTTCACTAGATTAATTCGATACTATGTACATTTTACAAATGTGTGCACAAAAAGCTCATAAAAGCAAACAGGATACTTACATTGGGTTTATACTTTATAAGAAGCGTGTAGAATTTGCATGACTTGTTATCTTGATTTGTTCCCTTTACTGCATGCAGCATGAGAGGGTGGAAGCAAGGGCTTGACAACGTTATGTTATATCTGTTGCTATTGCATACACTAGGGAGCTTTTCAGTCGCGTGTTTTAAGACCAACACCAAAGCAGTTAAAAAAGCTAACAAAGGTCAATATTTCAGTAAGCCAACGAGAACGCAAAGTAGAAATAAGTGAACTGTTTGAGGCGCGGGAAAACGTGAGTGAAAAACTCATAATCTATGTGGCGTCTCCATTTGATTGGTTGATTGGTTAGTTAATGCTGGTTTTCTTGTCCAATCGCACATCGTAGAAGGGGAAACCCATTGAAATGCAGGAATTGCTTCCGTGTCACTTGAAAATTTCTTGATATGGAAATGAGAGATATCAATGTTGTTTTTTTAGAGGCTTAATAGATGATGGTCATGAAACGTTTTACATTATACCTGAGACTGGACATGAGGCAAGTTTAACTGAAATACAAATCTTAAAATCAATAGAATTTGGTTGAACTGTAAAATAATTTTCATCCCTTTATTTTACTATACACAATATTTTAAAAATTGACTTTGTTTGTATAGTTTTTGGCCAAAGTTGATTGCTATTTTTCACACTAGATCTCTGTAGCAAGTTAAGTTTTTAGTCAAATGAATCATGTCGCTAAAAATTTGCTTCCTTTTTACCTTCGTTTTCTTTAAAATCGTTACTGTATCAAATTCCAGGAAAATGGAACTCACAGAGTCAGTAAAGCTGAAGAAGACGAGTCCCAAGATATCTTCCATAATTGTGGTAAATCAAAAGCTCACAGTACTTTGCGAAAACATAACATTCAATGGGTGCGCCTTTTTATTTTGCTTCAAAGCATCTAAAAAAGGTTTCATTTGTTGTCTTTTGCTATTTTAAGGACTTTATCGCCTCAGAGAAATTCCCCACAGATACTGTACTTATTTGTGGTGTCATGTTTATCGCGGTTGGTACGTTTGATAATCACCATTTTTCTTTCTTCAGGAAACGACGAAATTCAAGCAGACTCCCATTTCTTAAACGAAACTTCTGGACCAGTTGCTAGGGTAGGTGGTTACTTTTTAGACAAAACACTATTTTTCATCACTACTCTAAACAACTGTGTTTGATTATTTTGGTTTTGATCCAGAAGAGACGTAGCATATCGGGTCATATTGATGAGTCCTACAAGAAATACCTGACAACTGATGAGACGCGATATACCGAAATTTTCATTTGTGTTGACAATGAAATAGTAAGTACTGTTTATTACAAAAGATAAATTATTTGCTCCTTAGACCGATTATCAAAACAACTTCAGCCTTTACCCTCACTTTCACCTTCACTTTTACCTAGATTTAGTTTTGGAGCCAAAGTTCATTCACTCACATACTCACCCACTCCATACTGTCTAATCTGTTAGACAACTAATTTATATATTAAAACTTGGATCAACCGCAATATCCCTGCCTATCCTACTAGGTTTGTCTCTCTCCGCATTATTTTCTTCTTTTTCTTTATCTGGGGAATAAGGCAAAGGAGGAAATTATATCAGGTACACCTAGAAATCTCCCGATAACCGGGTTGACGTTATTTGTATTTTGTTTTTTGTTTTTTTTAACACCTAAAGATTATAGGAGCTCGCGAACTCAGAATTGTTTTGATAATTGACCTGAAACTTGAATTTCCCCACAATGATGATCATGTTATCTGCTTTCAACAGTACCGGAAATATAACAGGGATAAAAATGTCATCAAAGATCGAGTCATAACATTAGTAAACGCTGTTGATGCGGTAAGTTATCTTTACAGCTTTACTTTAGCTTCCCTTCTCGCAAAACATTTCTTTATTTGTCTTTTATTAGAAAAAAATAGCATACCTCTTGAACCTCTCCCCTACATTCACACTTTCTTTGTTTAGATTAACCCTATCAATCCCAGAAATGCCAAAAATATTTTAGTTCCTGGTAGTTTTCTTATCCGTTTTATCTTTGTGGGGGCAGATCAAAGATTTTTTTTAGAACGGGGTGTATCAGTAACGAGTCGCATAACTGACGGGTTGCGTAAACAAAATTTTATCGCCAACAACAAATGGAAGGCTTACAACCTGCTGAATAATGAGGTAGATTTTGTGTAACAAGGAAGTTATATTAGAAAGCCGCATGTCGTCTAAGGGAGGGGGGGGAGGGGAGGTTGCGCACCTCCTGAACCCCTGAAATGACCAAAAACTAATTAATATTGTCCTCACATTTTCGATGCTTTTTTTCAAAAAAGAGCAATTTTCACAATAACTTGATCTGACTTTGCCGCCGATAAGTACATAGTCATTACGCTGTTCTTCTTATTGCTTAGATTTCCCAAATGGTACTGAACATATCAACAGTTAATAACGAATTAATTAATTATTTCCCAACTAAGTATCTTTGAAATATCTTGATTTTTTGTCTCTTGTAAAGATCTATCAGCGAATTAATATCAGGATAGTTCTGAAGTACTTGGAAATCTGGACAAACGGAGATCCTTTCGGGCGTGGGCGAAATTCAGGGACTGAATTAAACAATTTCAGGGCCTATCGAAATAAAAATTTGGTGAAAAGGTTCCCTCATGACAACGCTCTTTTACTGAGGTAAAATTTTTTCATCCTTACGAAATTTTTTTCATACCTCCCAACTCAAAAATTTCTTTCGATTAGAGAAGAAATCTTTTTTCAAAGGGTAAAATCGATGGGGGTAGTTTGAGTCACAACATATGATCTAGAACATAGCGTCCTTAACCGCAAAAAAAGTTATCCTTCTCAGGTAACCCTGTATCATCTAATCTCGGTTGGTCGCTAAAAGGACCGAAAAATTCCGTGTCTTGCCATCTGTGTGGTAGATCATTAATTTGTTATGACACTTATCAGAGATTGATGTAATAGTATGCATATACTATACTTCCCTTCGGGGCTCAGGAAAAAAGCCGAGCAACGCGCAAAATATCCAGGGGTATTGAACAAGGACTATTTATCGCGGAAAATGGTAAACAGTAGACAGCAAAAGTTCGTTTTTTGTCTTTGGCTGGTCATTTGAATTTTGATACCTCCATCGTCGAGGAAAGTAAGTTTTCCAGGTTTATTTCGCTTCGTTTTTTTTTTCCAGTCACAGAAGTTGGGACAAACATATTGTTGGTCTAGCATGGGTCAATGCGATGTGTGGCGGAAATTCAAACTCTATTAACGCCGTAAGTTATATGAAGAAATATGACTTGCACTGTTTTTGCTTCATTATGTCCTGAGATCCTTTAGAATACCAATCACCAATTTCAACCAATCAGAGGCAAAAGAAACACTAGTCGTGATTTGATAGCCAACGTTTTCCCGCGCTCTAGAAAAATTGGTTGTTTTGACTTTGGTCTCCCATTGGTTTCCTGTAATCTTTTCCTTCTTTCCTGATGGGCTTTTGTAACTACCTATGTTTGGATTTACGGCACTCGATCGAAATACTCCTTAAAGTGGCGCGGGCTTTGGCTTTTTATCAGCATGCTCAAATATAGGAAGATTTCTTACCCGTCCTGGAACTTAAAGGTCGACATATGGTTGATATTAAATATGCCTCAAAATTTTAGGAGCAATAACATCCAAGACTCACAGGGAAAAAAAAAGCTCATGAATCATATTCTTTTTATTCGTAGTGGTCTTATAGCAGTATCATTGGTCCTTATGTAACCGTTGCTCATGAAATGGGCCACAACTTTGCGTTCAATCATGATACAGGTAGGAAAAATCTAATCATAAATAATTGTAGAGATGATCTTGGGTTACGTAGAGTTATGTAAGAAAATAATTATGATAACATGAAAATGCACACGATACCTACAGGCTTTGATGTCATAGATGAGGAGGCAGAAGTATAATTTTTAAATTTTGATTTAAATTTGTTTGTGTTTTACCCAAATCTAATAAAACTGTTAAATATTGATAAAGATTTCTCGAAATATCCAAAATGAATTTCGACTCAGAAGTCTTCGATTTTCTAAAACTATTTTACAGTTCTAAACTTCTATCCTTGTTAAATTGTTCATCTCAACCGTTATTTTTTTCTTATTCTCTTATTTACACAACCTTTCGTCTCCATGCAGGGAACTGCAAGTGCTTAACTCCACGAGGCTGTTTCATGGGAGGTCACAAGTAGGTCATTCTCAAAAAAATCTGGCGATGAGATACACTTGCATTACTTGGCGTAACCGAGCGGTAAAGGCGTTGGACTTGTAATCTGGTGGTCCCGAGTCCAAGTCCTCCACCCTGCCATTCACTGGCTTTGTTCTCGGTCGCCCCTAGTTCAACTCAATGGCTGTGCTGCGTAAATAACCAACTGGTCTGCCTCCTGCCAGTTGAGATTTTCAAGCACTCTATGTTTGTCTCAGTCATTGTAAAGTACTATCGGATAGCATGGAAATAGCGCTCTACATAAATAGTGTGTTATTATTAATACTCAGGTCCTCCTTAATAATACCGTCCATTTCTATAGCTATTTGTTGTTTTGTCACAGTCTTCAATGAAAATTAAAGTAAACCACTCTCTCTTACAATGAGTTCTATTGTTGAGTTATTTAACAAAACATTATACAGAAACTCAGTCAGTAAAATACTATTGAATACAAATAAAATCATATCAAAAAGTTGGATGAAAACAGAGCAACAATAAAAGTGCAAGACGAAATTCATCGCAGTTGTAAATTCGTGCAAGACATTTTATTGAGTAGGTGATGTTTACGTATCTGCTATATTTGCATCGACTGAGATCTGACGAGAAATTTTCCCAATTTTGATTTCAGGACTAGACTTCCAGGATTTTCAGATTGCAGCCTTAAATCGCTTCAAAAGATCAATGATGCGTGCTTGTACAACGTACCAACTTACAAGGTAACCATAACAAACCAGAAAAAGAGGAGGGGGAGATTGCGGATGATAATTTATTCAAGAATTATCAGCCTTTTAATTATAAGCAGCCCTAAAAATATCGACAAAATAAAGGTATCCCCCATGTAATGGAGTCCTTTCACACAACAAAGAACAAACTCATTTTCTAGTCAAAATTTGGTTAGCGTTCAGATGATACTTAAGGGCTTAAATTCAGCAAATTTGGATGCAATTGTCACAAACATGGGTATGATAAATAAAACGTCAGAAAATGTATTATTTGGATTTCTCATTTTTGATCACTGCTTCGGTTTCGATTTCGGTTGAAATATGCACTTAAGTAGCTAGAAGAACATCTTGAAGCTGTTGATTCGTTTGGTTTTCCTTTAGGCCTACAACAGTTATTGTGGAAATGGCATACGCGAGAAAGGAGAGGAGTGCGACTGTGGGACCCCTGAGGTTTGTAAATGATTTGAGCAAAATTCCTTTTTTAGAGAGTTTGGGTTTAACAATTTAATACACTATTATGTGTTTGTTTAAATTGCTTTAGCGTGGGGTTTATTGCGATGTCTCTACAAAGGCTGTCGTAAGGACGTCTTAATCCTTCAACTCCCATGAGTGACCAAGACAGAATTTCTCCTTACAATATTAGTACAATATCAAGCAGACAACTTATGAGAATAAAGAAAAATATTAACTGAGGGACTTTTAGTTGATTCAATACCAAATTCTCTAGACTAAATTCTCTAAACCAACATCACAAGAACTACATGGTAGACAGTAAGGAGAATTACTAATGAGATCTTGGGAGTTAAAGGGTTAAATTGTCCAACACTTACAATAGCTGACTACTTTCATGATGTGACAGCATTCATTCTTCGGACACGATCAGGAATGATGAAAATGGTTCTTAATCTCCTCAGATGTGCCAGGCCAAAGATCCTTGCTGTGAACCTCACAACTGTGTCCTCAAAAAGGAATCACAGTGCAGTGACTTACATCACTCATGCTGCAAGAACTGCTTGGTAACAAAATAATCAACAATCCCTTGAACATTACGGGCTCATGAAACTGAGAAGTGTTGAGTTAGAGACTGCATGAAATTTAAAAAAGAATTTTTGAGATTCAACTGACAACAGTTGCTGTGAGAAAGTGCCCTTTTAAGTAAATATTAGTCTGAATTATATATTTATCTTTTTCTAGTATTCCCTCAATTACAGCTCACTTACGAAGGCTTTTCCTTAAATTGATCATCATCCACAAGTCAAAATATTATCTACTTCTTTTGAATATGAACGAAGAGCACGATAACACGGGCGCACCTGAACGGTCAGGAAGCAAGCCTACTTTCAATTTTTAGGGCAAATTTGCAGAAGAAAACAAAAAACGACACCATAAGGAGATCTAATGTTATTTCAGTTACCCACAAGATCAGTTTTCTCGCGAGAAATGCGTAGTATAGGATCCAAAATAATTATAGCAGATAGATTAAAGTGTTTCATCGTTGAAACGATGGTTCTTAGTACTTTACGCAATCTAATTGCAAATTCTGACTCTTGTTTAGTTTAAGAAACAAGGAACGTTATGTCGTGGAGTCAAAACTGATTGCGATGTTCCAGAATATTGCACTGGTGCTTCAAGAGACGTAAGAAAATTAAGAATTTGACTCAGAAATTATTGTGAAATGGAAACCACCGTGTAGTAGCTAACAAGTGGGTCATTGTCAAAATATGTTATGGCACTTTGTTATGTCCACAATAAAACGAACATACGGCGCCAGAAATGGTCGGAATACTAGCTGCAAAATTCGTGTGCACAACTTTATCAATTCACTGCCGAAGTTACTATCAGCCGTGTGTATGATTTTTTTAAATCGCACTATTTATGCGGTAGTGTAGGGGTCAGCGTGTTAGTGAATCGCTCATGTCTAACATAGTTTGGGTTTTAATACCGATAAAAGAATCGTTACTCTAGATTATCTCAAGAACAAACCTCAATTATGCTTAATTACTGAACTTTAAAAGCTTAAAAGTTGATCACGCTTACTCTTTCAGTGTCCTGAAGACACCTACATCATCAATGGATATCCATGTAGCCAAGCGAAAACGGTACGTTTCTCATGATCAGAAAGATATCATGTTACATAGTTCAAAACGTTATTCACTTTTACCGAAGTGCCACTAAGTTCTGTCTCTAAATATTATGAATTTACCAGTAATGTGCATAACTAGGTGACCAGCACTCATTTTAAAAGAACAATATTTCCAACTAGTTGTCATATACCTTTCATCATCTCGTCGGTCTTCAATGCGATTCCTTTCTCCCGTGATTTTTCTTCTCGTTTGCTTATTTTCACGAGAAAGGTTTGGACAAAAAACGAATAATTCGTGGCACGAAAAAAACAGGTTTACATTTACTTCTCTTTGTTATTTTTCCTTTAAATCCGTGTACATCTAACTCGCTTGACTAAAAGCCAGAAAGCACCGCTGAGCCGGTGTATTCCTGTCTGCAAAGTGGGTTGTGAAGATAATTTTGCCACTTACGAGTCACATTTTAGTTAATTTGAAGAAAGTCCTTGGGCTAATCATTGATTTTTTTGCTGAAATGCTTTGAAGGTTATACAAGGAAACACTAACTTCTACAGTGTGGTCACAAGGGACTTGAACCCCATGATCAACGCTCGTTATCTTCGTATCAATCCTCAATACTGGCATGGCTGGCCCTGTATGAGAACTGACTTCATGGGATGTTCTGCGCATGAAGGTAATGGTACGCTACAATGCTACTCCACGTTGTTGCGTATATCTTGGTCCGGAAGTCAAATAATCACTCTATTTTAACATGTTTCTTTACGTTCGTTCTGATAGTAAGTCCAACTACTCCTACACCGCTAAAGTCAAACAACTTTGACCTTTGTCTGGCTCCATCAAGCAAGAGTTGTTCCCCACGTGACAACGAGCTCATCATATTTGTATCCGGAAGCAGATGCTCAGAGAGACATTTTCAATTCACGCGTGGCAAAGACGGATTGTTACGCCACGCTTGCAGTGGGAAATTGGTCTGTCCAGAAAATGGCGGGACGCATGATGGTGCAAAGATTGTGGTCAGCAGGACTTGTAAAGTCGCAGACTCGAAATTTATACGAACCGTAGGTAAGTCCAAAGAAATGCATATTACCTCCTTAGTGGCCACCTCTCGAACTGAGAATGTATTCAACAATCAGAGGTACATATATACACCTTATTAGCTGATTTAGAAAGATATATTTGAATCGTAGGGTAACGTAGTTTCCATCAATGTTTGTGCTTCTTGGGTTCTGTTGTTTACGTTCCCTGGAGTGGAGGGGGGCTGGAGGAATTCTTTCGGAAGATTTTTTTTAGGTGTTTGCCTCAGTGGAATTAAAATCTTGATGCTAATTGAGTCAAAATCCAATAATTTCGCTTCCCAGGTTAAGGCAAAAAGTTTTAGGACAGTTTTACAGACAATTGCCTCATGTACGGCTACTGAACTTAGGTTTCCAATATTTCATGAAATCCTTAAAAAAAGCCACTTTCAACGGAAATTTTCACCGCTTACCAACCTGCAGGTATTTCAAGTAATTGCATTCCGTTTTGTTTTCTGATGGCTAGGTCTATTGTTTGTTTGTTTGTTTACTTAATAGGGCGATCTTTAAAGCACGTCAAGTCTGGCAGATGTGTTCATCCTACGGGATACTGGCCAGGAAACGGAAGACATCTGGTAATATGGTCTGGATGCGATCAGCACAGGCTACAACTGTGGTTCGGGAAACAAGGTACACCTTTTAATGATAATAACAATGATAATAACAATAGTAATAATAATAGTAATTATAATAACAATATTTTAGCAGGGAGCCCACTTCACCGAAAGGTGCTCTTCAGTGGGGCCCTGTACATACTACAATTAACTTCAATTAAATAAGAACTACACATGGTAAAAGAATAAAAACTAGATTAAACTTTTTACCAGATATCACACTTTTAAAGTATACGTTGTGGGAAAAGCGGTGGTCTCGTGGTTAACGCGACGGTTTATATATGAAAAAGGTCCTGGGTGGGACCTTTTTTGCTGTGTAGGAGAGACACTGGCCTCTCTCGGCGCCTTACATCCTATCCATAGCACCCAATTTTTTTAAGAACTTAAATTCGAGTTAAAAAAACTGGTTTATACTTTCCTCTCAATACATTACATAGTATAAGTCGTATACTTATAGATTGTGTGGAGCCTCTTGGAATGCAGAACGGTGAAATCAAAGACCGCCAGATTACTGCTACCTCATATAGAGCTCAGGATTTTGCGCATTATGCAAGACTCAAAGGCAAAAAATACTGGTGTGCCAAAGCTAATAACAAGGCCGAATATATACAAGTTGACTTGGGAAAGGTACGTTTTGATAATAGATTAGAATAGTCGGATAGTTTATGAACAATGCAAAAACAGAATACGAGGAAAGATGGTAAGGTGTATTCTGAGCACGAGCGCCTTAGTAAATAAAATTTTGTACCCTTTACAATACCTTAGGGAGACTCGCGATCTAGTTCTAGTTTAAACGCTTTAAGGATATATATAATTTGTTATTTTGGAATTTTTATCGTTTCGTTCTTGCAACAAGCCTTTGAGAATTGTTGATAATCGAACACTTCTTCTCACTTTTAATCGAACAGAAACTTGAAAGAATTCATTTTTTATTCGAGTTTGTCGCTCAAGGAATGAACTACCTCTTAGCATTAAAGAGCCTAACACTTTGTCAGTCTTTGGCCAGAAACAGGTTAATTGTTTTAATGTTAAATTTCAGCGCTAATTCGTTATCGCAGTTCACTTATTATTACTATGAGTTTAGATAATTTTTTTTGTAATTAGTTTTTCATATTGATTTTTTTTAATTAGGTAAAGAATTAACTACTAGAATCTTTGATACTGTAAGGCGGCTTATGGCAAGGAATCTTGTATTCTGTCCTCAAAATTTATTGGATCGACCGGTGCAACGTGATTTAATTTGGAACGTATAGTAAAGCTTAAAGAATCCCTAATCTCCGATTTTTGTCGAGAGGTCATTCATTATTCAAAAGCAGCCAAGTGGAATCGATTGTCAAAACTCAAAGGTGAAGGCTTTATGGTGTTACCTGTCTTCTATCCAGTTAATCATCAGAAAAAAAAAATTTAGTGTTTTGTCAGTTGTAACGGATCATAGGATGAAGTCATTATGTTTGACCCAGGATCATTTCAGAGTTATATCCTACAAAGCCACCTCTCGCCAACAGAGCTGCTTCAAACGTAACTGATCATCATTAAGCATTTTCAACTTGGTTGTTACCTTTATAGATGGACTTTTATATATTGTCTTATTGTCCTTTTACAAATCTAGGTTAAAACTGTCAGTAAAATCCTGATGCAAGGCCGTGGAAACTGGTACGACTGGGTGACCGGCTTCTTCTTACACTACAGTTACGATGGTCAGCGGTGGAATACTTACGCCGAGAGTGGTGACGATCAACAATCCGATGTAAGCAAAGGATATTGTAATCACTCAAAGTCAGTTGTCTGTTTACTTCTAAGAGCCTTTTTTGTTTTCTTTCCCATTTCAGTCCTTCTGTTACCTTGGAAAGTGCAGCGAAACTCCTAACACTCAGTGCAAGGACTTATGGGGAGCTAGTAAGTAAATGTGCTCATTTCTTTTTGTCTTTTATGTTACTTAGCATTTTGATACAAACACTAGTTGCTGTTACTTCAATACATTAAATATTCTTTTAAGATTTGTACTTTATGTTCAATCTTTATTAGTTGCCGATTTAATGTTTTTTCCTAAATAAAGGTGTCTCACTTCAAGGTTCATGAATTATTTCAAACATTATGTTTTTTAGTTAAATACTAAAATAGACCACATTACGAGTACACTCGACAGGATTTAGACCTAAAACCCCTCAAATGAGGAAATTTGGATGCTAAAAGCCTCTCGGTTCAATTATAGTTAATTGACGTCTTCCTGCGCTCCGACAAAGGGCTAACGCTCGAATCTTCAGCTTTACAAACTCTATACAGGTGGCCCATTTACAGTATCAAATCAGTTGATAAAACCAAGTTACTATGTTTTACCCCTAACGACGCAGCACCACAGTTTCTTCAAAAACTTACCCCCTTTATTCATTTGAGACTAACTTGACCTATTACAGCCGCCACAAGCGCTGACCAAGGATGCTATGACAAACTGAACACTGAGGCTAGAGGATATGGTACATGTGACCCAACAACTAAAAGACGTTGTGCTTCAAGGTACATGACATTCTTTTTAGTGAGCGGAGTACCATTCCTAAGAAAATTTATGAATTTCTTAAGTGCAATTTACAAACTACACAAAGACCGCTCGATAAACGGCCAAAAGAAGATGACATAACTCTTTGTTTTACATACTGAAACATCCTAAGGTTTTAATAATGAAGAGATTTCGTTTCATGATCAAAAAAAAAATTCTAATGGTACAATTAATGAAAAAGTAAAACAATTTAAGTGATAACAAAATGTGTTATTTAACCATTAGCAAGAGTCTTCAAACCCAACCTACGTAAGATTTCATTTAAAGTCCTTTTAACTAGTAAATCTTACTAGTTTCTTACGTTCTGTGCAAGGAGGCGTGTTACGTTATCAGCTTGGCGGCAACTAATTAATATATTTTCTCCAAGGGATGTTTTATGCGGCCAGCTGCAATGTGAAGCGGACGATAGCAGAAAAAAACCTGTTGTTGACTATGGACGGGCCAGAGACAAAAAGATAATTTTGCCTTCCGGGAAAAAATGCAAGTTAGTATTACTTTCTTTTTGTTACTCTGAGAAAAAAGGGGTCAACTTTTAAAGCCTCTCGTAAGCTAGATGATAAGGACGAGTTTCAAAACGTTATACTCGTAGTGTTTGACTTTGCCTTTGCAATTTGACTTTGAGGAGTTTCTCTTTTTTTTGTAAATCCATATTTAAACTTACTTTTAGATGCATTCTGTTCAATTCCCTCACATATCTTAAGAAACGAAACCATTAAAACGTACAATTGAAAAAAAAACCGTTTGATCACTTTTGGGTCATATTTTCAAGAAATGCAAAAACACGTAGTCAAACACGGTTTTACTTCTCACAGTGCTGTAGAACTGAAACGTGGTGACAGCGTTGGACTGGGAATGGTAAGAGATGGAACAAAATGTGGACCTCATAAGGTACGACACCATTAGCCTCCTTTTAAGTCCCTTTACGGATTCATCCTGTCACGCAGGCTATCAATTAATATCTAAACATAATCTTAAACACTCAGAACGTTCCTGTTTCATAAATATAAAGCCGTTTGGGGAAAAAAACCGACTCCTTTCATATACCGTGATTTCCCCGCTTTATTGCACATTAGGAAACATTTTTCTCCACAATCAATTTATCGTAAGAAAAGTATGGAAGAACAGCAACCATTCGGTTACAAGAGTTTTAGTGAGAAGAGTTCCATGTTGAAAGAATTGCTTTGAATATGGAGAAAATTATTTAGAAAAAAAAGTTCTGGGTTATTACTTAGTAAAGAGCGCTTTCGGTGTCCTTCTAAGAACAAATGTGAGTCTGCTCTCTCGTGTCCATCCACCCTCCGCGCGATTTCACCTCTTCACAATACGCCCAATGTCGATATAAATACACTGTGAATATGTTTACCTTAGTCCGAAAGTTTACTCCTGCTTATGTATGTTTAAGATGTGTGTCAATTACAAGTGCCAGTCACTCAGTTATCTCAATGTGGTTGGCAAGTGTCCAGTAGTCGGCAACAAAGAGTGTGCAGGAAGAGGGGTACGTAATTCTTAATGTTGAGTTCGTGAGAAGCATAAAAATGGCGTTAACATTCTACGCAGTCTAAGTTTTACACCATCATGCAAGGGAGATCCCCTTTTTCCTAGTCAACTGTATGTAATTTGCAAGGAATGAACAGCTGTCAGAAAAAACAATAATCACGTGGATTCTCAACGAACTGATATTTGCTATTGACCCGAGTATTATTCGCAGAACTTTTTCTGTGTCTGACTTGGAAACTCTGTTGATAAGAGCTTGCCTAGTTAAACTATTGACGTAACATATTCAGATGTCTCTTTGGGAAGTAAGCCCAATGCGACTGAATGGAAAGCAGCGCAATGTGAATTCGAATATATAAGGCGTGACTTGAATCACGAAAATTCACTGAAGTCACTAGCATTTTCTCATTTAAATTTTAATCATTACAAAATGTTTCTAGGTCTGCACTAATAAGAAGGTTTGCCATTGCCAAGGAGGATTTGATCCCAAAGATGGTTGCAAGTCAGGTGAGAGCCGAAGGTTTTTTCTTTGATATTCAAATGTTATTTTCTCAGTGAGAGCTATTTGCTAATATCCCTTGCACTTTTAACTTCCTTGTGCAGAGCTGTCTCCACGTAACGGAGCCTGGGGTAGGTGGTCCTCATGGACAAAGTGTGACAAAGGCTGCGATGGCGGAAAGAGAAGAAGACATCGGTACTGTGACAATCCCCTACCTCTGCATGGTGGAGCTGACTGCGCTGGACAACGGCTCCAGACAAAGGATTGTAACACACAGAGATGTCCAAGTGAGCGAAAGATGTGAACCAAGAAAAAGTTCTTGTTCGATTGATTAACTTACTTTCTTGTAGTTAGTTATATCAGTGTGTTCACTGATAAAAACTTCACAAGACTAAGGATGCTGTAAACCTGAAAATTTTTTGGTAACTTCGGATGCAATTTGAAGAGTACATGAGAAGTGGTGAAGAAAGCTGCAAACTAAAAAAACAACTTGAACTTTGAAAAGATGAAATGATCCCAGTAGTGATGATTTACAAATTTTTAGTTGAGAAACAACTTCGAAAATGAGTAATTATTCTTCTCACCGTCCATGATTCATTCTATTGTTGATTCCCTCCTTATCGGCAATTTATTGGTAGTCAATTTTCTTTACTCCCCTCCCCCCTTAAAACTCTGTTGGCGGTGACTAATCCCTCCCTAATCCCTTGAAACCATGTGACCCCCCCCAAATCCTCAACCCTCCCTCCCCTCCCCCGGGCGATAAATGATGGCAAGTCTCTTAACCTTTTAACACCCATGGGTGACTAAGACAGAATTTCTCCCTACAACTTATACCATCAGTATAATATCAAGTAGAAAATTGATAAGAATAAAGAAAAATATCAGTTAGTTGATTCAATACCAAATTCTCCAAACAAATATCACAGGAACTGTATGGCAGACAGCAAGGAGAATTACTAATGAGATCATGGGAGATAAAGGGTTAATCTCGTTCTGTGGTTGTCTATGTGTATTTCAGGGGTGATTTCATGCCGTCACTTGCAACGAATCGCCAGAGAAAAGAACCATTTCTACCCTGATGGAGTCTACAAGATCTACCCCACAGGTTCCCGGCCTGTTATGACCTACTGCGATATGACACGTGACGGTGGAGGATGGACGTTACTGGTTACTAGCCACACCAACAGCTGGAAGGCACAGAATGTGAAATTACGAAACGCAAACTACCCAAAGTTGACTGATGACTTCTCTATTCTGCAATATGCGGACAGCATTAAGAATAACAAAGAAGTGACCGGAACTACGTTTGAATATCGCCTAGAGGCTCAAAACAGAGGTAATAAATTGTTTCCGAGGTTGAAAGAGGAGGGAAGGTTGAAAATACTTAATAGAAGTTGTGACCACAAGGCAGTGGTACATGAAAGAAGAAGCTTTTGTGATCCAAGACTCCCGTTTCCCTTCGCTTAGCAAGTTTGCCCGAGCCATCTTCCCCCTCACGTCCCAACACGACATTTTGGAATATGAAATTGAAAGAAGGACGTTCACACGAGTACCAAATGTAATTGCATTGGAAATCGTTGCTACGCTATTTTTGCCCACATAGTAGGAGTGGCCATCTTGGCTACCATCACGCCTCTCTGGAATTTTTATTACCTTTGATGAATAAGCTCATCATGCAGAGCTCATCACAGGCTTTCAGTCAAAGGGTAAATAACTCTGCCAAGAGGGGAATCCACTCCCAATAACTTTACCTTCACCTCGTACTGCAGTAAGGCAGTGGCAAACTGAAGTGATACGTCGATACATTTACTATCTTCTGTATCCTTGAATCAAATAACTCTTATGGGGATATTTTATTAAATTTGTTCTTCTATCTACATGAATATCTCTGGAAAAGTTTTTACCATCATGAAATTCCAAGAATGAAACTTAGTTTTTAGGTCTTGAGACTAAAATATTGTGATCTCTTTTCAGGTCGTTGGGGAGGCATCTGGAAGGCTCCAAGGGACTACACCTTCACAGCCACCAACAACAAACAAACGAAAGTTGAACTGATCAAGAAGTTTGATAATTGGAAATATTCAAACGGAGGCATTGAACAAAGAATGCCATGGATTTCTGGTGCCAGGTTAACCACTTCCGGCCATGCTCAACACTCTTGGTGGGGGTCAATAACAGGTAAACATTATAGTTATGAGGTAACAGGTGAACGAAGGGCTAATGTTCTTCTAATTTTCTAAATTAGAAGCTAATAGGTTATAAAAATCCGCAAGTCTAAAAATCTCTTCCATTCCAGGATTTCTCCCTAAATCTTCCATTCAGAATATCGTTATCTAATGCCTCGTTGGCATTCCATAATAGTAATCTTGAAGCAAACGATTTGAGCTTTGTTGTCATAAATAACAATAACAATATAATAATATCTAGCTGTTAAAAGTATAATACCAGAGCAGACTAAACCACAGTTCAAACAATCAGTGGCATTAATTTTCTAAAAAAAATTGTCTATTAAAGGTCGAAAAAATGGGGTCATTATGTTTATTTTTTCCATTATAATAATTATCTTAAAATTATTTATCTTTTTAGGTGACGATAAGAGTTACCATCCCGCACCTTGGATTAGTGGAGACCGTATGGAGAGTCAGCCATCCTACATCTGGTACTGGATGAGGGAGGGATCATTCAAAGGTTCCATTTCCGTCTCGGGTATGTCTGGGTGTTGTTTACCAAGGATAAGTTGATCGAAATCCAGTAAAAGAAGCTACGTCACGTCATTTTGTGTCATACTGAGCAACACAGAAAATCGCTAAGTCTGTTTTTGACTCCCGTGCATATTCCGTCTACCACCATATCGTGCATTACTCTTGTGTGACTTTCTCACACGTTAAATCGGAATCCATTCTCCCGCATGTCACAAAATCGTGTCTGGTTTCATTTATATGAGCCAGATCTCAGACGGGTGTAAAAGCGTTACCATCCCCAAAAATCAGACCGAACGAATTGCTATTTATAAAAGGCCAGTATCTGACCTGTTATACAGTCGTGATTCATATATATATATTTATAGGAGTGTTTGAATTCAATTTGTTATCATTTCTGCGTGGCCACTAAAATTTGGTAAACTGTACTAGTGCGAAAAACACAGTGATAGAGGCTACTAAGTCCAAAAACTGTACGTCAAACCGATAAAGCCAAGATTTTCCTGAAAAAAAAGGATTTTCCTAAAAAATTTTTTGTTGTATTTGGCAAAAGAAACCCAGTCTGATTATTCAGAAGACTACCCTTAAACTGAATTCCTTACAAAATTAAAGCTTTAAAGTAATCTAACTCAATGTCTTTTTTCTGCTTTTAGATTGTCAGGATGGCAACAAGAATTGCAAGTATTGGGCATCGCATGGTCATTGCAAAAAGTCTGCTAATTACATGTCTAAGAACTGCCGTAAGAGTTGCAACCTTTGTCAAGGTATGTATAACTAATCAGTGAAAACTTTAAAATAGAGTAAACAAAAGTTTAAACATTCTCATAATATTTGATTGTGGTATTATTTGATTGTAATATGATATATGGTAGCTATGACTTTATGGGCCCAACCCAAATCCCGAGTTGATAACCTCAAAAAACTCTCAGTCTGTCAAACCTATCTCTCATAAATAACACAAAACTTTGAAAGTGTTACTGAAGCAGAGTTTTTCAATTTAGCCAATGAAAAGCGAAAAGGAAATTCTCGTTTTCATCTAAAGAGTATTTCTACAGGCAGCCTCTTTTTTCGACTACTAAATTATCTAAATTGTCTTTCTTCCTGTTAAAACAGAGGAAGGAGGAAAAGGGCAGGGAGGCGAAGGAGAAGGAAAATCAGGTTTGGTTTTATTCACAATTTCTTTTCTATGGTTAAATTTTGACTTTCATCGTATGCCCTACAAAAAGCCATTTTTGTCTAAAAATAAACTTTGTATTCAAACGTCTATTATGATTATTAGCGGGAGGAATACGAAGCTACGGTGACTACTGTGTGGCCCCAAACAGGGGAGGTTGTTCCCCTCCAGGCGGCAGTTATCTCATCTTCACTAAAAAGAAAGGCACGGCTTGTAATGCAAGGGAACAGATCTTTCGTCTTGATCAGAATGGCATTATTCATCACAAGTGCAGCGGGAAGGTGGTTTGTCCACAAGGTAAATTAATGCTCGCTAGGTTAATATCCCTGGCTTCCGTTTATTTTCATCTTGCTGTCTTTGTCTCACGGTATCAAATACCGTAATGACTCGATTTAGCGTATTAGGCGCTTATTTTGGTATACCTCGAGGGATGGCACTTATTGGAGACAGGCCCTTATAAGGAAGAGGGCGCATACTTGTTTTTTGAGAAACGGCAGAATGGGCGGGAAGTGAAAGCAGTGACTTTTATCTGAAAAGAATCAAGAAGACCGGCAAACGGACTTGGATAATTCCTGGCTAGAACAACCCAGCCAAGAAATCATCACAAAATTTTAAGACGCGACATTCGTTAAAATGAACTGTGTATGCACTCACATGGACATAATGGTTGGGAGACTGAGACAAAGACCTTTAAGAAGCTTTAAGTGAGAAATTAAAGGAAAATGAACCACGGTTGATCTCAATGTCCATGTAATCCACAGAATAGGGGCGCTTATTAGAATGGGGGTACTCACCGTATGGGGGCCCTTCTCAGACTAAGGGCACTTATTGACAAAAAACAGATGGAAGGGTGCATATTAAAGACGAGGCGCTTATTAGAACGAAGGGCGCTTAATCACATCATTGAGGTAAACCGACGCAAAACAAAGAAATCTCTATTTTAGGCAATTACCGAACGACAGTCGAGCAAGAGCATTTTAATTTTGCCTCGTTTTACTCACTAAACCAAGTCGTTAGCTCGATTAAGACGTGCATAATGAGCACGATGGAAACTGATTTTCTTAGTATCCAGGGGAATGAAGTATTTGAAGAACTTATTGTTATCAATAGAGTATCCTGCTCATCGATGTTTTTCTGTGTAATTTTGATTTTTAGACAATAACCCTTCCAATGGTAAAAAGCTGATGCTGAAGGACAAATGCGACCGGGGAATTTCTAGGCACGTAAGGTGAGTAAATACGCCAGTTGGTTGTCTTTCATTTTAGTTACAACTATTGTTAATCTGATTACATTGACAATAAAGCGACAAAAGTAACAAATTTTCAACATTGGATTCTTTGGCCATCCCACTGTCACATCCACTGAAAAGAAAACTATTTCAGGTTGCAGAAATATCACAACCTGAAGAACCTAAAGAACAACTTCTGTGTTCATCCGAATGGCGGATGGCCTCGTGAAGGAGGAGCATTGGTTTATTGGAAAGGGTGTGACCAGGCCAGGCTCAAGCTCGAATTCTTACATACTGGTAAGACATGATGCCAAAATTAACAATAAAAAAAACATCTAAAATCTGATTTATTTGCCATTATACTTTTTGACCGTTAAAATGTCTTTCTCCTCGTTAAAACAGAGGAAGGTGAAAAAGGAGAGGGAGGCGAGGAAGAAGGAACATCAGGTTTGATTTTGTTTAAAATTTTTCTTCCCAATGAGCGTCTATTAAATTTTTTTTTTTTATGATGAGATTTTGAATTTTATTGTATGCTACAAAAGCGATCTTTTTTTAAAAATTAACTTCAACTCAAAAGTTTACTTCATTTATCAGCGTGAGAACTAAAAAGCTTCGGCGACTTCTTTGTGAATCCATCCCTCTGACGGTCACAAAATCGCTCCTGGTCTCATAAATTTAACCCAGATCTCAGATAGATGTAGAGCAGATGAAAGAAAAGCAATTTGTCATTGTAATCATATCAACATACAAACGAGCGGGTATAAATACAGGGAAAAACAAGACGGTTCCAAACATGATTTTCATCAAGCATGGCTGTTCCTTAAATCCAACCGAGCGAATTGCTATCTCTAAGATGCAAGTTTCTGACCTGTTATACTGTTGTGACTCATATTATATATAGAAAAGTTTGAAAGAACTGACTGGTAAAAACCGGGAGACTTGACTTACATATAGAGAGAGGTGGTTTAAATGAGTCACTGCAATACGGATAAATTTAATTATTTTTGAATTTGCGAACCTTTGGCTCAATGCGCTAAACGAGGGTCAAGTCTACCCCTGGGTACACCGATGGAGATTGATTTTACTAGTGCATATTTACACTACCCACTTCCCCAGTGCAGCAAAATTGTCACTCCGATAATTTTCTTGATCAGTTACGAGCTTTTCCACCTCCCTTCGGCCAAAGCCTCTCAGGACTACCAATTACTCAGGAGTTTTGTTTGGAAAAGTTGACCCGGAACAATGGGCCATTTCTTGATACGAATTCAATTTGTTATCATTTGCGTGCGACCACTAAAATTTGGTTAACTGTCCTTGTGAGAAAAACACAGCAATAGAGGCCACCAGGTCCAGAAATCGTAAATCAAAGCGATAAAGCCAAGAGTTTCTTAAAAAACAGATATGGTTTGCTTTATTTGGCAAAACTAACAAACCCAGTCTGATTATTCAGAAGACTACACTTAAACTGTATTCCCTACAAAATAAAAGTTTTAAGGCATCCTAACTAAAAAATAGTTTCCCATAAAGGACTAGAGAAAAGAACAAACAACCAATAGACTGCGCTCTAAAAAGCCTGTGTTTGCAATATTTTTTTTTCTGCCTTTAGACTGTCAGGATGGCAACAAGAATTGCAAGTATTGGGCATCGCATGGTCATTGCAAAAAGTCTTCTAACTACATGTCTAAGAACTGCCGAAAGAGTTGCAACCTTTGTCAAGGTATATATAGCCACTCAGTGAAAACTTTAAAATAGAGTAAACGAAAGTTTAAACATTCTCATAATGTTTGATTGCAGTAATATTTGATTGTGATGTGATATATGGTACAGTATAGTCATAACATTATGGGCCCAACCCAAACCCCGAGTTGGATGATTACCTTCAAAACACAATTAATGAAGCAGAGTTTTCACTTGGCCAATGAAAAGCGTTAGGAAATTCACGTTATTTTCTAAGGAGTATCTCTACAGGCTGCCTTTTTTTTTTAGCCAGAGAAATACAAAGCTTCGGTGACTTCTTTGTGAATCCATTCTCCTGGCGGTCACAAATAGCTCCTGGTTTCATCTATGGGACCCAGATCTTAGACAGGGTGTAAAGCAGATGGAAGAAAAACAATTTGTCATAGTTATCATATAGACATAAAAATAAGCAGGCATAATTGCAGAGAAAAACGTGAAGCTTCTAAGATGATTGTCATCAAGCTTCGCCATTCCCAAAATCCGACCGAACGAATTGCTATCTCTGAGAGGCCAGTTTCTGACCCATCAGAGAGACGTGATTGTTATATATATGAGTGTTTGAATTCAATTTGTCATCATTTGCGTGCGGCCACTAAAATTTGGTAGACGGTCCATGTGCGAACAAACACAGTAATAGAGGCCACTTGTCCAGTAACTGTATATCAAAGCGATGAAGCTAAGATTTTTCTAGAAAAAAGTTATGATTTGTTGTATTTGGCAAACCAACCAACCCAGTCTGAGAAGAAGACTACCCGTAAACTGAATTCCTTATAAAACTAAGGCTTTAAGGTAATCTAACTTTAAAAATATCTGTATATTTTTCCCATACAGGAAAATCTACAATCAATAGAGTGAGCTCTAAAAAGCCTGTGTTTGCAATATTTTTTTTTTCGCCTTTAGATTGTCAGGATGGCAACAAGAATTGCAAGTATTGGGCATCGCATGGTCATTGCAAAAAGTCTGCTAACTACATGTCTAAGAACTGCCGTAAGAGTTGCAACCTTTGTCAAGGTATATATAACCACTCAATCAAAACTTTAAAATAGAGTAAACAAAAGTTTAAACATTCTCATAATATTTGATTGCGGTAATATTTGATTGTAATATGATATATGGTACAGTATAGTCATAACGTTATGGGCCCAACCCAAACCCCGAGTTGGATGATTACCTTCAAAACTCTCAGTCTGTCAAACCTGTCTCTCATTAATAACACAAAACTTTGAAAGTGTTACAATTAATAAAGCAGAGTTTTCATTTGGCCAATGAAAAGCGTTAGGAAATTCACGATATTTTCTAAGGAGTATCTCTACAGGCTGCCTCGTGTTCGAAAAATATGAAAAAGGCTAAATAAACAACTTGATTAGTTTTTTTTTTATTATTAATTTGTCTTCTTGTTAAAACAGAGGAAGGAGGAAAAGGACAGGGAGGCGGAGAAGGAAGTAAGTCAGCTTTGCTTTTGTTTAAAATTTTTCTTCTCAATCAGCGTCTATTAATAATTTCTCTTGTAGGGTTAAAGTTTGAATTTTATTGTATGCTACAAAAAAATTTTCATTTTTTCCAAAAATTAACTTCAACTCAAAAGTCTACTTCATTTTTTAGCGAGAGAAATACAAAGCTTCGGTGACTTCTTTGTGAATCCATTCTCCTGGCGGTCACAAATAGCTCCTGGTTTCATCTATGGGACCCAGATCTTAGACAGGGTGTAAAGCAGATGGAAGAAAAACAATTTGTCATAGTTATCATATGGACATAAAAATAAGCAGGCATAATTGCAGAGAAAAACGTGAAGCTTCTAAGATGATTGTCATCAAGCTTCGCCATTCCCAAAATCCGACCGAACGAATTGCTATCTCTGAGAGGCCAGTTTCTGACCCATCAGAGAGACGTGATTGTTATATATATGAGTGTTTGAATTCAATTTGTCATCATTTGCGTGCGGCCACTAAAATTTGGTAGACGGTCCATGTGCGAACAAACACAGTAATAGAGGCCACTTGTCCAGTAACTGTATATCAAAGCGATGAAGCTAAGATTTTTCTAGAAAAAAGTTATGATTTGTTGTATTTGGCAAACCAACCAACCCAGTCTGAGAAGAAGACTACCCGTAAACTGAATTCCTTATAAAACTAAGGCTTTAAGGTAATCTAACTTTAAAAATATCTATATATTTTTCCCATACAGGAAAATCTACAATCAATAGAGTGAGCTCTAAAAAGCCTGTTTGCAATATTTTTTTTTCGCCTTTAGATTGTCAGGATGGCAACAAGAATTGCAAGTATTGGGCATCGCATGGTCATTGCAAAAAGTCTGCTAACTACATGTCTAAGAACTGCCGTAAGAGTTGCAACCTTTGTCAAGGTATATATAACCACTCAATCAAAACTTTAAAATAGAGTAAACAAAAGTTTAAACATTCTCATAATATTTGATTGCGGTAATATTTGATTGTAATATGATATATGGTACAGTATAGTCATAACGTTATGGGCCCAACCCAAACCCCGAGTTGGATGATTTACCTTCAAAACTCTCAGTCTGTCAAACCTGTTTCTCATTAATAACACAAAACTTTGAAAGTGTTACAATTAATAAAGCAGAGTTTTCATTTGGCCAATGAAAAGCGTTAGGAAATTCACGTTATTTTCTAAGGAGTATCTCTACAGGCTGCCTCGTGTTCGAAAAATATGAAAAAGGCTAAATAAGCAGCTTGATTATTGTATTCTTTTTTTATTGTTAATTTGTATTTCTTCTTGTTAAAACAGAGGAAGGAGGAAAAGGACAGGGAGGCGAAGAAGGAAGTAAGTCAGCTTTGGTTTTGTTTAAAATTTTTCTTCTCAATCAGCGTCTATTAATAATTTCTCTTGTAGGGTTAAAGTTTGAATTTTATTGTATGCTACAAAAAAATTTTCATTTTTTCCAAAAATTAACTTCAACTCAAAAGTCTACTTCATTTTTTAGCGAGAGAAATACGAAGCTTCGATGATTTCTTTGTGAATCCATTCCCCTGGCGGTCACAAATAGCTCCTGGTTTCATCTATGGGACCCAGATCTTAGACAGGGTGTAAAGCAGATGGAAGAAAAACAATTTATCATTGTAATCATATCAACATACAAATGAGCGGGCATAACTAAAGAGAAAAACGTGACGCTTCTAAACATGATTTTTATCAAGCATCGCCATTCCCAACATTCGATCGAGCGAAATGCTATCTATAAGAAGCCAGTTTCTGACCTATCAGAGAGTCGTGATTGTTATATATATGAGTGTTTGAATTTGATTTGTTATCATTTGCGTGCGGCTACTAAAATTTGGTAGACGGTCCATGTGCGAAAAAACACAGTGATAGAGGCCACTTGTCCAGTAACTGTATATCAAAGCGATGAAGCTAAGATTTTTCTAGAAAAAAGTTATGATTTGTTGTATTTGGCAAAACAAACCAACCCAGTCTGAGAAGAAGACTACCCGTAAACTGAATTCCTTATAAAACTAAGGCTTTAAGGTAATCTAACTTTAAAAATATCTATATATTTTTCCCATACAGGAAAATCTACAATCAATAGAGTGAGCTCTAAAAAGCCTGTGTTTGCAATTTTTTTTTTGCCTTTAGATTGTCAGGATGGCAACAAGAATTGCAAGTATTGGGCATCGCATGGTCATTGCAAAAAGTCTGCTAATTACATGTCTAAGAACTGCCGTAAGAGTTGCAACCTTTGTCAAGGTATATATAACCACTCAATCAAAACTTTAAAATAGAGTAAGCAAAAGTTTAATTATTCTGATAATATTTGATTGCGGTAATATTTGATTGTGATATGATATAGTTATAACTTTATGGACCCAACTCAAACACCGAGTTGATAACCTCCAAAGACTCTCAGTCTGTCAAACCTGTCTCTTATTAGTAAGACAAAACTTTTAAAGTGTTACAATTAATAAAGCAAAGTTGTTTTCATTTGGCCAATGAAAAGCGATAGGAAATTCACGTTATTTTCTAAAGAGCATCTCTACAGGCTCCCTCTTGTTCGAAAAATATGAAAAGGCTAAGTAAACAGCTTGATTATTTTATCCTTTTTTTATTGTTAATTTGTCTTTCTTCTTGTTAAAACAGAGGAAGGAGGAAAAGGACAGGGAGGCGAAGAAGGAAGTAAGTCAGGTTTGGTTTTGTTTAAAATTTTTCTTCTCAATCACTGTCCATTAATAATTTCTCTTTTATGATTAAATTTCGAATTTTATTGTGTGCTTCAAAAAACTCTTATTTTTTAAAAATTAGCTTCAACTCAAAATCACATTTTTAGCGAGAGTCGAATTCGATGATTTCTTTGTGAATCCATTCCCTGGCGGTTACAAATTCCTGGTTTCATCTAATGACCCAGATTTTAGACAGGGTTAAAGCAGATGGAAGAAAAACAATTTATCATTGTAATCATAAACATACAAATGAGCGGACATAATTAAAAAGAAAACGTGACGCTTCTAAACATGATTTTTATCAAGCATCGCCATTCCCAACATTCGATCGAGCCAAATGCTATCTATAAGAAACCAGTTTCTGACCTATCAGAGAGTCGTGATTGTTATATATATGAATGTTTGAATTTAATTTGTCATCATTTGCGTGCGGCTACTAAAATTTGGTACGAAGCTTCGGTGACTTCTTTGTGAATCCATTCCCCTGGCGGTCACAAATAGCTCCTGGTTTTATTTATGTGACCCAGATCTTAGACAGGGTGTAAAGCAGATGGAAGAAAAACAATTTATCATTGTAATCATATCGACATACAAATGAGCGGGCATAACTGCAGAAAAAAACGTGACGCTTCTAAACACAACTGTCATCAAGTATCGCCATTTCCAAAATCCCACCGAGCGAATTGCTATCTCTAAGAGGCCAGTTTCTGACCTATACGAGAGTCGCGACTCATATATAAGTGTTTGAATTCAATTTGTTATCATTTGCGTGCGGACACTAAAATTTGGTAGACTGTCCACCTGCGAAAAACACAGCAATAGAGGCCACTTGTCCAGAAACTGTATATCAAAGCGATGAAGCCAACATTTTCCTAGAAAAAAGTTATCATTTGCTGTATTTGGCAAAATTAAACAAACATCATCTAACTATCCAGAAGACTACCCTTAAACTGAATTCCTTATAAAAATTAAAGCTTTAAGGAAACTTAACCTAAAAATATATTTATTTTTCGCATACCGGAGAATTTACAAACAATCAATATAGTAAGCTCTAAAAAGCCTGTGTTTTCAATGTTTTTTTTGCCTTTAGATTGTCAGGATGGCAACAAGAATTGCAAGTATTGGGCATCGCATGGTCATTGCAAAAAGTCTGCTAATTACATGTCTAAGAACTGCCGTAAGAGTTGCAACCTTTGTCAAGGTATATATAACCACTCAATGAAAACTTTAAAATAGAGTAAACAAAAGTTTAAACATTCTCATTATGTTTGATTGCGGTAATATTTGATTGTGATATGATATATGGTACAGTATAGTTATAACTTTATGGGCTCAACCCAAACCCCGAGTTGGTTACTCCCAAAACACTAAGTCTATCAAACCTGTCTCTCAATAATAAGACAAAACTTTGAAAGTGTTACAATTGACGAAGCAGAGTTGTTTTCATTTGGCCAATGAAAAGCGAGAAGGAAGTTCACGCTATTTTCTAAGGAGTATCTCTACAGGCTGCCTCATGTTCGAAAAATATTAAAAAGGCTAAATAAATAACTTGATTAGTTTTTTTTCAATTATTAATTTGTCTTTTTTCTTGTTAAAACAGAGGAAGGAGGAAAAGGACAGGGAGGCGAAGGAGGAGGTAAGTCAGGTTTGGTTTTGTTTAAAATTTTTCTTCTCAATCAGCGTCTATTAATAATTTTTCTTTTTTAGGGTTAAATTTTGAATTTTACTGTATGCTGCAAAGGAACTTTTATTTTTTCAAAAATTAACTTCATTTCAAAAGTCTTCTTCATTTGTTAGCGAGACAAATACGAAGCTTCGGTGACTTCTTTGCGAATCCATTCCCCTGGCGGTCACAAATAGCTCCTGGTTTCATTTGTGGGACCCAGATCTTAGACAGGGTGTAAAGCAGATGGAAGAAAAACAATTTGTCATTGTACAAATATAATTGTCATCAAGCTTCGCCATGCCCAAAATTCGACTGAGCGAATTGCTATCTCTGAGAGGTCAGTTTCTGACCTATTAGAGAGTCGTGACTCTTATTTATAGGAGTGTTTGAATTCAATTTTTTATCATTTGCGTGCAGCCACTAAAATTTGGTACAATGTCCACGTGCGAAAAACACAGTGATAGAGGCCACCTCTCCAGAAACTGTACATCAAAGCGATGAAGCTAACATTTTCCTAGAAAAAAGTTACGATTTGTTGTGTTTGGCAAAATAGACAAACCCAGCCGGTCTGAGAAGAAGACTACCCTTAAACTGAATTCCTTATTAAATTAAGGCTTAAAGGTAATCTAACTTTAAAAATATATATATATATATATATATTCCCATACAAGAGTATTTACAAACAATCAATAGAGTGATCTCTAAAAAGCCTGTGTTTTCAATGTCTTTTTTCGCCTTTAGATTGTCAGGATGGCAACAAGAATTGCAAGTATTGGGCATCGCATGGTCATTGCAAAAAGTCTGCTAACTACATGTCTAAGAACTGCCGTAAGAGTTGCAACCTTTGTCAAGGTATATATAACCACTCAGTGAAAACTTTAAAATAGAGTAAACGAAAGTTTAAACATTCTCATAATGTTTGATTGCGGTAATATTTGATTGTGATATGATATATGGTACGGTATAGTTAAAACTTTATGAGCTCAACCCAAACTTCGAGTCGGTTACCTCCAAAAACACTCGGTCCGTCAAACCTGTCCCTCGATAACAACACAAAACTCTGAAAGTGTTACAATTCATGAAGCAGAGTTGTTTTCATTTGGCCAGTGAAAAAGTGGGAAGGAAGTTCACGTTGTTTTCTAGAGAGTATCTCTACAGGCTGCCTCGTGTTCGAAAAATACAAAAAGGCGAAATAAATAACTTGATTAGTTTTTTTTTATTGTTAATTTGTCTTTCTTCTTGTTAAAACAGAGGAAGGAGGAAAAGGACAGGGAGGCGAAGAAGGAAGTAAGTCAGGTTTGGTTTTGTTTAAAGTTTTTCTTCTCAATCAGCGTTAATTAATTATTTCTCTCTCATGGTTAAATTTTGAATTTTGTTGTATGCTAAAAAAAAAATTTAATTTTTTCAAAAATAACTTCAACTCAAAAGTCTACTTCATTTGTTAGTGAGAGAAAAACAAAGTTTCGGTGACTTCTTCGTAAATCCATTCCCCTGGTGGTCACAAGCCGCTCCTGGTTTCATTTATGGGACCCACGTGACCCAGACCTTAGACAGGGTGTAACGCAGATGGAAGAAAAACAATTTGTCATAGTTATCATATAGACATAAAAATAAGCAGGCATAATTGCAGAGAAAAACGTGAAGCTTCTAAAGATGATTGTCATCAAGCTTCGCCATTCCCAAAATCCGACAGAGCGAATTGCTATCTCTGAGAGGCCAGTTTCTGACCTATTAGAGAGTCGTGATTGTTATTTATAGGAGTGTTTGAATTCAATTTGTTATCATTTGCGTGCGGCCACTAAAATTTGGTAGACGGTCCATGTGCAAAAAACACAGTAATAGAGGCCACTTGTCCAGAAATTGTATATCAAGCAATGAAGCCAAGATTTTCCTAGAAAAAAAGTTATGATTTGTTGTATTTGGCAAAATAAACAAACCCAGTCTGAGATAAAGACTACCCTTAAACTGAATTCCTTATAAAATTAAACCTTTAGGTAATCTAACTTAAAAATATATATATTTTTCCCATACAGGAGAATTTACAAACAATCAATCGAGTGAACTCTAAAAAGCCTTTGTTTGCAATGTTTTTTTTTCGCCTTTAGATTGTCAGGATGGCAACAAGAATTGCAAGTATTGGGCATCGCATGGTCATTGCAAAAAGTCTGCTAATTATATGTCTAAGAACTGCCGTAAGAGTTGCAACCTTTGTCAAGGTATTATAACCACTCAATGAAAACTTTGAAATAGAGTAAAAAAAACGTTCAACAATTTTGATAATGTTTGATTGATGTTATATTTGATTGTGGTACGACAAATGGTACAATAACTATGACCTGACGAGCTCATCATTTAACAAGCTCTTAGTTGCAAATATCTTAGTTAGGATAATCACACAGGGACCCACATTCCCAGACACATTTGTTAGGACGCATATACTGCCTCGCTTACTTGGGTCTCAATGCTTTTTTTGAAAGATGACATGGAAGAACATCATATGCGTCGATCTGGAGAACTTTCTTTATTAATTTTGTGTGGGAGTGCAGCATACATTATAAACAGTAAAAACAGGCTTCGTCTCGTTAAGGGTGTGGTGCAGACTGAAGGCGAAAAAGGACAAAATCTGAGTGAAAGTTCTTTACGCCACTCCATGTTTCTTTAAAGTTCGCTGTATACCGTCTCTTGGTCGAACACATGAAAGGCAAAATCAATACTTAAAGTTTGTTACCGCTAAAGAATTCTAATTTCGTAATTTCTTTCTCCTATTTAAATAGACGGAGAGGACAAAGGCGGAGGAGCGGAGGAAGAAGGTAAAAAGTGCCTTTTTTCAATTAAAAACATTTTCTCATTTATTGCTGGATTATCTACCAACATCTAATAAATTGAGCTACAAACAGCTTGTGTTTGAGATGTTTTTTTTTTGCCATTAGAATGTCAGGATGGCAACAAGCATTGCAAGTATTGGGCATCGAATGGTCATTGCAAAAAGTCTGCAAACTACATGTCTAAGAACTGCCGTAAGAGTTGCAACCTTTGCCAAGGTATTTATAACTAATCAATGACGAGTAACAAAATTTTAAAAATTTTGATAATGTTTGATTGTTGTTATTTTTGGTTGTGATGTGATATATGGTACAACAACTATATTTTGACGAGTCCATCACTTAACAAGCTCCTAGTTTCAAATATCTGATTTAGTGAAATCACACAAAGATGGAAGACGCGAAGATCGCTCGTAACTTCACTTATTAATCCGAAGTTCATCTATGAAATTCATAAATCCATAGTCTTTCGTCCACTGTCTTGGTATACCTCGTTAATATTATCTAAAATCTAATAACAATTCAGCTTTTTCCTTATTAATTAGAGAGGACCTAGACCGTTAAGAATGTCAAAAATTCAAATAAAATAATTTTAAATTCAGGCATTGCACAAAAAGAATAAATATCCATATATTCTTTACAGTTTTCTGCATTTTGCCTCCTAGTCGAATACACGGAAGGCAAAATCAATACTTAAAGTGAGTTATCGCTAACAATTCTAATTTCATTTTTCCCTTCTCCAATTTGAAACAGACGGAGAGGACACAGAAGGAGGTGAGGAAGAAGGGAAAATGGGTCTTTTTTTAAATTAAAAATATTTTCCCCATTCATCAATGGATTTTATAAAATAATTCAAATAGTATGCGCGCTTTGAAACCTAAAATAAAACCATTTTACACGAGCGTATGTAAACACGGTTTTCATACTGAATCTTCTCGCGGAGTTCTCCCTGCTATTTATTTAGCAGTAACCCAGTTTCTTTAAGTTTGTTTTGAGTACAGTTATGAAAGAAGAAGATTTTCCTAATTTTTCTTTGGAGTTTAATTTTCCCAGCACTCAAGAAACGGCCGAAAAGCCAAATGAACTTCAGGAAGCACGTCGCTTTCCTTCGTTGCAAGAAGAGGCTCTTTCATTAATTATTTTATAAAAGAAATGTAAAATGGTTTCCGTGTTGCTTCGCGTCGTGGTTTCCTACGCTTATCTCGTGTTCTCCCAACCTCCCGCGTGTTTACATCAGGCCATGTAAACACAGAAACCATTTTACATTTCTTCACTCTACCAACATCCAATTAATGGAGCTATAAACAACCTGTGTTTGCAATGTTTTTTCCTTCTGCCTTAAGATTGTCAGGATGGCAACAAGAATTGCAAGTATTGGGCATCGCATGGTCATTGCGAAAAGTCTGCTAATTACATGTCTAAGAACTGCCGTAAGAGTTGTAACCTTTGTCAAGGTATATATAACTAATCAATGAAACGTTTAAAATCGAGTTAACAAAAGTTTAACAATTTTGATAATGTTTGATTGCTGTTTATTTTTTTATTGTGATATGATAGATACTACAACAACTATGACTTGACGAGGCTCACTAACTTCAAACCAACATCACTAGAATAATATGGCAGACAGTAAGGAGAACTACAAATGAAATCTTAGAAGTGAAAAGGTACATGTGATACTGTTTTCTCCCTTGTAAACAGGTGAAGCGAGAAAAGAACACTCAGGAGGAGGAGAATTTGAAGATGAGGAAGACGATATGAACGAGGAAGACAATGAAAAAGAAGAAGAAAAGGGAGACGACGAAAAAGGCGAAAAACAAGAGGAAAAAAATCACAAAGAAGACCGGCAAATGTTCTTCGCTTAGAAGTAAAGATTACTGCTCCGCCGTCACAATAACCGATGAGCATCAACGTTGTAACTCATCTCGTTGGAAATTTTTAGAAGCTAATTGAACTGATGTTTTAGAACAAGCCTCAGTCTTATTTACCCAATAATATGTTAGAATTTATTGTTGTATCTTGTATTCATGACTATTTTTAATTATGATGTAATCTGCTTTGCTTCAGTAGCTAAGGCTGTAGTGCAAAAGCTTTAAACATTTTTGGGGTTATATCTTTACTAGTACTGGTTACATCTTGAATGTAATCAAGGTAAAGTCTTGATAATAAAACCCATATTCGACAATATTTTTGTGTGAGTTACTCCCATTGTAGGATTTTCAGTAATTATTAAATATCTGGTCCAAAGCTCGACCTGCAAGCGTTCTTCAGGAAAAGGCCTTATTTTCTCAAAGGAAAATGTTACCTGTTTTGCAGTTATCGTATAAGAAACAAAGCGAGGATAACAATATCTGTTTAAGCCTGAAACCCATTCACTTTCCTATACCTTTCTTTGTTCAATATAGATATCTTTATCTAACTTGGGTGTTCCTCTGTTGTTTAGGGTACGCGCAGCATGGAATATTATTGAAGCGACTTAGCATACTCTATGGCATATATAAAAAATAAATTGTAAAAAATAGTTTTCCTGGAAAGAAAAAAAAGCTATAAGGAGAGAGCAAAAATGAGAACAAGATTGGTCAGAGAGGGTGTTTTTTATCAAGGATTATAAATTAAGAAATATTAAGGAAAACTTTCTTGAAATACAGTGACAGACGTCTTTTAACAAATGAAACAGGGTAAGACATAGTTTTCATTGAGCCGGGTGGCAGCTCTTGCAAGGCCTCACATGATAGGTTTGCTACATGTTGAAACACCATAGTCTTGTATAGGTAACAGCCGTTACGGTAGTTCTAATTGTACCGTGCATAGCCTTTCCGAAAAAAAACATTAATCAATAAAAATGAAATAATGGTATAAACTACATTGGACGATCATGAAATGCCCTTTGTTTCATTTCTATTACAATTCCGTTTTCATCGTGTTCTAATTATCGAGCTAAAACTTCGACGCATAGCAAAGATGTTTAATATGGTTCTTGATTGATAATTTATCACATCCTTTTTAAAGCCACTGGTAAGGCGTGCTATTTGATTGTCCTGAAGTAGTGTGAGTTTTACCGAGAAGCGCACCATTTCTTGCTGTAAATCGCATCTTTTTCTGGCGTCTTCCATAGTGATACCAACCAAAATCCCCAAAATTTTGAAAATCAAAATGCATTAAAAAAGAACGGAAACTTAACTAATAGGAGCGCAATATTTGTGATTTCAAATCGAACTTCCGTTAGACGCTCGTTCGATTTTTAATCAACACTTAGGATCTTCGACCAAATAGACTTCGATCGTGTCAATTACCATTATTTAGAATCACGGCCACTCGATTGAATCTACAACTAAGGTATCATGGAATCACATCATGAGCAAGGAATTAAGAAATCACTGTAGCCTTACAAGTCGCACCTGATCTGATGGTACACCGGAAGTTGCTGCACCCGTGTAACATTCAAATTTCGATGGCCACAAAATTCAGGAGGTTCTCATTTAGGTTATGGTTTTAACCGCTATTTCTTTCGATTACGGTTAACAGAGATGTTAAAAACTAATCAACTCATTTTGAACAATTACTGATTAATTTAAAGTGGTCTGAAACATATTTACCCACTCGCTTTTACCGTAAGAGTCAAGCAACAATGGTAATTCCAGGTCTTGTTGCTGTTGAGTTGATATAGATTACTCTTCTGTTTTCCCGCAGTGGCCACAAGACAAGGCAACGTTTTTATACGACCAACAGTTTAAATTTATCAGTTTCTACGCTTAAATTTTCATGCCCTTTTATGGCTGAAAATTTAAACTAAAGAGAGTTATAAACAACCTGTGTTTGCAATGTTTTTGCCTTTAGATTGTTAGGATGGCAACAAGAATTGTAACCATCGGGCATCGAATGATAATTGCAAAAATTCTGCTTATTACATGTCTAAGAACTGCCGTAAAAGTTGCAACCTTTTTCAAGATATTATAACCACTCAATAAAGACTTAACATTAACTAAACAAAAGTTCAAACAATCTGATCATGTTTGATTGCTGTTAAATTTGATTGTGGTATGATATATAGTACAATAACTACGAATTGACGAGCTCACGTCAAGACTTTAATACATTTTGATAGCTCTGAAACTGAATTGTCTAGCAGATGAAAGTTAAGCTAAGCCTAAGCTTAAAATTATCTATCTATTTAAGATTGAGAACTACACTCATTAGATATTCAATGAACAAGATAATTTGGTCTTAACGACTGAGTATACAACGCAAATTGTCCACTGTAAAGTTACATTGACAACTCAGTTGATAAGCCTATAAATAAACTTGTGGGTGTTACTAAACGTGGACCAGTAGACCACGGAACCTTCACAACCAGCCGAATCTGCGAAACCATTATTGTGGAAAATAAAATTATGAAATTTTAAAAAAAAAAAACCTCAAGGCTGTTCGAGATTTTGTTTTCGGGTGTAAGGAGGATAAGTTTTGGAGATAAAGATGTTTTTTTTCTATCTCCATTAAAGTCCAACCACAGGAAGCATTTTTTTAGTGAGCATCTACGAATATGCAAGTAAATTATGTTCACGTTGTGCAAAGAGTGAAAAATAAGAATTTGCATGGCAATAAACAATCGCGCTCTCAACATTAAAAAGTTCTGGACCAGTTTTGAATTAGGACAAGTTTTCCCTCCCCAAGTGTTTGTTCTTTTACATTGTGGGGAATTAGTAAGGATAGCCCACACTGTCTCGTCTTCACTAGATTTTTATTCTTCTCCTCTTCTATTCTCACTAGGTTTCACAACTGTCACAACTCCTCGACTCGACTGATATGAAAGATTACTTCGACTGAAAGCTAAATAAATCACAGACAATTGTTCCTTATCTTTGCGGGACACCTTAGTTAAAAAGAACGCTGATTGGCTAGATACGAATCTTCCAGACATAAGAATAACAAAATTTCCAGACAAACATTTCACAATCGCTATTTGATATCTATGCTATTATTCTGTTTCCGACAACATCGTGTAAATTTTTTGGGCTGATTTAGGTCAATTTAGCTCTGTTTTAGCTCATCTGCCTTTCCCCATTCATGATCCTTTCCAAGATACGTCTGAGTAACGCCAACCGAATGAATCCACCGGAAGCAAAACTTTTTAAATTCGCTCCGATGACCCCGAAATTCTACAAGGATCACAGGCGACGGTGTTACTATATGCTCGTTTTCCTCATTCCAGGGTCATGTACGATGAATTCCGGCCTAAAGTTTTGTTGAAATCCTTCGGATGAGCAATCATTCGGATACCGCGGTGCCCAAACCCTTAAAGCTCAAGGTAGGTTACTACTAATCGCTCTTTATGACAAGGCGCATCCTTGTACTAGTACAAACTTTTTCTTGCAGAAATATCTCAATAGATGCGATCTGCATATCGTGGAAGCTTTCAGGAAAATTTTTTTCATGTAACCGTTTGGATTAGCGACTGATGTAGAAGAGAGCCGTTAAATTTGCGCAGTGAGCAAGCTGCGAAATACAATACCTTGAGTTATTCAACAGAATGATAGAATGGAGGAACGATGTATCGGCAGAACGGCTGAATGTTCCAAAAAACCGGTTTCAGGCGGAAGGTTTTCTGTTTCGAATGTGAGACCAATCTTCTGCAACACTACCTTCTAGCGTCACAATGCAACCCTTCCTTTTTAATGCCACATACAGTCTTTGACCCTAAACTGAGCCTTGACTGTGCAGTAGAGAGTCCAATGAGCCCAGCCGTTTGTCACGTGATACACTTAAGTTTTGCTTGGCGTGGGTACATTGTAGAAGCCTGCTATTCTCTTTGCTGATGTTTGGAAGATTAACAGCTTTCATTAACATCAACGATGACATTTGAAGGTATGCAAATTTGACATGATGTGACTGACATCAGGCTTAGGGTTGGTGGAATTACCTTAGATGCGCAGTCTTCACACTTCATGTTGCAATGTTAAGGATTCAAGTTACGAACATCACCACATTAAATGATGGAGTCTCGCTTGCATCTTCTTTTCATAACACCGTTGGGAGTCCTACCTCGTTTCTGTAATGGCTTTCTTTGGTGTGTTATACATGAAAGAAGATTATTTTGATTGAATTAACTTTATTTAAGTTGACTCAAATATCTTTTTCTTTATTTCAGTTTGAACGTCTGACGCGAATATCACTGAGGAACAACTCTCTTAAAACTTTGCTTTACAACGAAAAGTAAGTCTTGTCAACTTTATTACTGTCAATAAAATATATTATTTTTTTCTCAGAGGGCACTATAACGAATCATGCAATCTGATTGGTTCTCTGCGCGGTCCGTATTTTCCTATCTCTGCCCACGGGCAACGGTAACGCTGTGTCCTCTGTCTTGAGTGTGGTTTTTCCCAATACGGACCCCCAGGCTGACGAAAACATATATTTCATTTTGCTAACTAATATATATGTGGGTTTTTCGTGTTGAAACCGATTCATAATCATGTGTTAGAATTGATTTTATTAAAAGTTGCCAATTTAGCTGTTAGTCCCGACACACATAATAAAGCAATTCACTACCCTGCGTAACAATCTTTTCTTTTACATTGAGCAAAGCGGGACAAGCTTGAGCAACACAAGAGTCACGCGGGGACAAAATATTCAAATAATAGGAAGGTCTAAAACGTCTGGAGAGCTGGGAGGGACCTTTTAAGGATTCATTGTATTCGTTGTGATAGTTTAAAAACAAAACACAAAGAAACAAAGACAGCGAAATTAACATTAAGATGACTAACAGCAAACTCAACTGAATTTTAAAAAATTTCCGAGATGATGAATCTTAATACGGTGATTGCAATTAAAAAAATGAGAGGAAGTCAAAGAACTCGGCGAGCAACAGGAAATGATAACAAATTCAGTTTCTGAGAAATGTTTACAGTTGACACGCTTGGAAAAATAAGTCAAAGATATGCCTTGATTGGTTAGTCGAAAGTCCAATAAGTCCAACTGTTTGGCACGTGATACCAAACGTAGGTTTTGCTCAGCGTGGGTACATCGTAGAAGCTTGCTGTTCTGTTGCTGATGTTTGGAAGATTAATAGCTTTCAATAATATCAGCAAGGACATTTGAAGGTACGCAAATTTAACCTGAAGTGAAAACACTTTGAATTTGACTTACTCAGTGCTTGGGGTTGGTGGAAGTACCTGAGATGCACAATCTT